CAATCATGATCTAGTAGTTATAGGGTAGTTATAACTAGGTCCTATAAATAAGACCATAGTTCATGAAACAAGGTAATAGAGAGTGTGTGCATTTGGTATCTTGTAAGTGTTCTTGTCAATCCTCCTATTTTTAAATACTACATCAGTTTTCTTGAATCGAAAGGATTCTTTTACTTGTATCGTAGTATTCTATTTTTTCCTTGTTCCTCCATCCCCAACAGGAACAACAAACAAATCATTATATACTGACTACTGTCCTTGGTAAATGTTGCATCTTTAAGTTACACTATATTATATTTTAATGACGCATGTATGTACCAATTTTATAGGAGATTCCATGTCTTTCCAATAATCAAGGGCAGTTTCAAACGAAAAGAAAATGAGAAAATTTGTTTTAAGGTAGACTTGACTTGCAAAGGAGACTAGTTAGTTCACCGACTAGGTGAGGTGAGTTATCCAAATGTTAGCGGTGCAAGGGCACACACAGGACAATCCAAAAACAAATATCTTTAAGGAATTATTATCCTTTTGATCCTGCATTTTCTAATTCTGTAATCAACTCTTTCCTTTGGTTCTCTTTGTGTTTGTACAGTTAACTCAAGGCCATTTTATGTACATCAAGTTTTTTTTTTTTAACTCTTTTAGATAGGCTAACTAGTTTGCTAAATCACTCTGATGCATTTTTTTGGTTTTAGCTTTTCATGTCTGGTTTAGTGCTTAAAATGTGCTTGGGTATCAAACAGATTATACCAGAGAAGTGCAGGTTTGAAGTGTTGCCCTCAAAAGTTGAAATCCGTCTTTTAAAAGCTGAAGCAATTACTTGGACTTCATTAGAGTTCAGTGACAAGAAAACAGTTCCCCAAAAGATTAATACGTTGCCAGGTGGGTCATTAATTGTTCTTGCTGAATATAATGCTCCTTTAACATCTTAAAGATCATATATTCACAAAGACACCTATCTGAGATTTTTCACTATTTTATTCCATATGTTTAGCCTCTCTATGTGCACATTCTTCTCCATTATATTAAATCTCGTCAACAGATATACCTTCTTTCTATTTTGTTTCTTCTATGAGTTATTGGGTACTCAATGACCTCGTAACTTCTTTATATTGATGCCTTTTGAAGATATGCTCATTAAATATTCAATACGGGAATTTCGTTAAAAAATTGAGTATGTTACTATGTTTATTCTTTAAAATCTTGAATGTTTGTAGCAGCAGCACTAGATTTACAATTTTATTGCTTTTTTGGATATTCACCTACTGACTATTAGTCTGAAAACTGAATCCGCAGCTTCTAAAGAGCAGAGACCGTCATATCCATCCTCAAAATCCAAAATTGATTGGGACAAACTGGAAGCACAAGTAAAGAAGGAGGTATGTAAGTAACATAACGCATGAAAGACTGCTTCTTGTCGTGTATTTACCCCAGTTTATATTATTGGTCTGAAAATAGCATTTTTATTGGTATGTGTGAACCTATGTATCTCAATTTTGTGGTAGCCATTGAGATCTGCATGTTGCCATTATATCTCCAGGAAAAAGAGGAGAAACTAGACAGCGATGCTTCACTGAACAAATTCTTCCAGGACATTTACCAAGATTATGATGACGACGTAAGACGAGCAATGGCCAAATCCTTTGTAAGAACCACCTATTCTTGCTTTCGGACTATCCTTAGATATCAGCCTCAACTCGACCTGTTCTTGTTGCAGCCTTGCTTTTTTATTAGACTCTATCTAGACTTTACGAAACTTGTCTCTCTATGTTGCCATTTTGATATCACATATATGTATGTATGTATGGGAAGATAACTCGGTTCTTATTTCAAATATAGGTTGAATCAAATGGCACGGTGCTGTCCACAAACTGGAACGAGGTTGGTTCCAAGAAAATGGAGAGTACTCCACCCGATGGTATGGAGTTGAAGAAATGGGAGTACTGATCTCTGTTCTTCTCAGTCTTGGTCGCCTCAGAAAGAACTGAACATTTCTATTTCATGAGCATGATTATGTGATTGTATTGTTCTACTTTGGACCAGCTTTGCTTTCGATGCTTAATTCTTGTTTCGGTTAGTGTGTGAAGACATGAACGCTCCTTTGTGCTTTACGTTTGGATCGAGATAGCCAGTTCGAAATGCTTGTCCTTTTCCGTCTTTTCGTACAGCTCCCTTGCGAGAGATGGTATCATGCTGTTATTTCGGTATTACCACTACGAGGCTCTATGACTTTGAGATTCGTGCCGCATTACATCACTCGACTGGTTCGTCGAACGTGAAGATTCGTGCTTGCATGAGAACAAGACCACGTGCTTGTCAGATGGCTCTCCTCCTCCGGACGGGGAGCGTGCGGGTCAGATCTCGACGAATCCTCTACCAGCATGCAGGTGCGTCCGCCTCTCCCGCGTCGGCAAAAGCCGGTCAGGAGCCAGCGCCTCCCCATCCGCACGCGTGAGTCCGCCGGTCGCCAATGGAGTCCGACCTGCGGCGCCGGGTGTTCGTGACACGTGGGATGCATGCAAGGCGCTTCGGCATGTGCAACTGCGATGTTCAGTGGACCTCCACGGTGGGTTGCCCATCTCGAGCAACGCGGACGGCGGAGGATGGTCCGCCGTGAAGGATACCGAAGCCCATTGGCCGTATTCGGCGACTGTTTTAAGGCTCGGCAGCTCTTAAACGCAGATCGACTCACTGGCAAGTAGGTTGGAGTGGCCGGAACAGCGTTAGCTGCAGTTGCCCCGGGTAACTCCTTGCTGGACGCCCCGTTCCTTGTTCAAAAAGAGAGGACACAGGCCTCCAAATCGAGCCCTTTTTGCGGCGATCATTTAGGGTTTACGATCCGCGAGACCCGCGCCTATATCAAGCGTCTCCAACCAACGAGAGGAAGCGGTTGAAGTCTCGTCCGGACTCTCGGAGGACAAGAACTCGAAACGCAAAAGACTGGTAAGTTCCTGTCCGAATCCCAAAGATCGGATCTTGAATTCTCTTCTTTTCCCCTTCCTTCCGAGGTCGCCTTCCGTTTCCCCCTCTCTTTATTGACGTTGAATCGAGAAACAAGGCATCTTTTGTTGTTTTCTTGAGTACACTCGGATTGTGTGTCTTCTCCTCCGGCGTCACCGAATTCCGACATTTCTGTTTCTGTCTATGATTTCCTCATTGGAGTCCTTCGTTCGTATCTGGAGCGCAATGGAAGAATTATGATTTGTACTTTGTCTTTGTTGTGGCCGGGGAGAAGTTTAGTGAGGAAGAAAAAGATCTTGAGGGTTTCCGGAGATTTCTTGGGGTGACAAGATGGAGCAGAAACATATCGTCATGTCGGCGCTGGGACTTGGGCTCGGCCTCGGCGTCGGGCTGGGGTTGGCGTCGGGGCAGACGGTGAGTAGGTGGGCGGCACCGCAACCAGGATCTTTCTCCGGTGTGACGTGCGAGAACATTGAGCAGGAATTGAAGAGGCTGGTCGTGGAAGGGAAGGACAGCAAAGTTACTTTCGATCAATTCCCCTATTATCTCAGGTAAAAATCGTCCGGGTTGTGTTGCTGTTTCCTTCGCCATCATCATTTGGTACATTCAATAGTCGTAGCATCACGAGTTCTTGGGAATTAAGCATACACGATACTTGGTGTGATCAATGAAATGCTCTATTTGCCCGATTGCTAATTCATGGATAACACAAATGTTGCTCCCCTTTGACTTAAGTCATGTTCAATAACGAGAACTACAGAATTCTCCATGTGTGGGGTTGGAAATAATTGGAACTTTGAAGAAAAAACAGGACATCTTCTAGTTATGTGATCAGTGAATTATTCTACTTTGGGTTTTCTATACCTTTTCAAGAACTGCATCAGATTTGTCTCCGAATATAATGCTTTTATGATGTAAGATTTGAATCGATGTTGTTATGTCCTTTCATGTGCCATGATTTTTTTTTTTTAAATGGAAAGATATTTCCATTACATTAAGTGGTGTATATGTCGCTCACATGTGAACTCGACCTTGAGACCTATCACTTGTACAACAATGTACAAACCAATTCGGATGTCTCGTCAAGGATCCTGTTCCACGATTAGTTTCTTTAAAAGATAAGCATCCCATCTATTTTAATGGAACTGACATCTTTTAACAGCCCTGATGTTCGTTCTCGTTAGTTGGATGAGGAGTAGATTTATAGTTTTTTAGAGAGATTTTCAATCTTCAGTAAAATGGATGATCAGAAAAGAAATGAATTTATTGGTGTGTGTTCTGCGATCGAACATCAAACCAGTCTTTATTGAATCCAGCTTTGTCAAATTTGAATTGGATAAATTTAAAAACCCATGGGGTATTCCTAGGGCCCATGTACTTACGCAAACTTTTTAGACCAGGGAATAACTGCAAATTCCTAATATGGAAAGTAAAACAAAGAAACATGAAGAGCATGACCAATAGAATTTAGGAGTGCTTCATTGAACAAAGAAACTATCTTTAAGCTTGCTACACGGTGGAGTTCTGGAGGTTATTACTATAGTGCTCTGGCTGGGGGAAGACCCTTTTGTTTTTCGCAAAAGTTTCATTTTCATGTCTTTAGTTATTTTGATTCTATGATTAGAACCTCAAGTTACTAAAAATAACTTCGTGACACTTTGATTTTCATTGTCACTTGTATCTTCATAGTATTTTATTTTATTTTATTTTTACAATGTTATTGAAGCTAATGCTGGTGGTAGATTGCCCTTCGGTCTCTATCAAGAGAAGTTGGGGTCAGCTGGGTTTGATAACAAACCATGAATTGTTCTTGAAACTAGATGTTACCTAGCATTTGTCTTCATTACATGCTTTAACTAGTGTTTGTTACCTATAGCTAGTGGTAGTTGCTTGTAGATTGAGAATGTGACCTTATTTTTCAACATTTGTACATTTTAAAAATGCTAAATTATATATTTTGGTTGTTATCTTGCTCTGCCAGTTCTTATTGCTCTGGGTTTTCTTATTGTCAATGATAGTGAGCAGACTCGAGTAATACTGACAAGTGCAGCCTATGTTCATCTGAAGCAAGCAGATTTTTCTAAGTACACTAGAAACCTTTCTCCTGCAAGTCGTGCTATTTTAGTATCTGGCCCTGCAGGTAGTCCTTTTTCTGGGTAATAGTTCTTTGGACTTTTGGTTTCTATCTATCGATGAATACATTTCTATTTTATGCTAAATCTGTCTAAAAATGTTTTCAATGGGAAGAACTTTATCAGCAGATGCTTGCTAAAGCTTTGGCTCACTATTTCGAGGCAAAGTTGCTGTTGCTAGATATTACTGATTTTTCACTTAAGGTATGTGTATTCATTAATTTTGTCTTTATATTTAGAAATTTTTTATGCTAACTTAAGCAACGAATCTTCTTTTATAGATACAAAGCAAATACGGAAGTGCCCCTAAAGATTCTGTAAGATTTCACAATTTTATTAAAATATTTATGAAGCTTGTCCTGTTATGTATTAAGCAGTCAATTACATCCTTCTTCAGATATATATATATATATATATATATATATAAATATATATATATATATATACATATACATATATATATA